CTCCACAAAGGATCCATTGTATTTCTATCAGCCTTCATCGCGTCGCCTCGTCCTTCCATCGCGGCGCGTTTATACAAACGGCTAATTGAAGTCGTTGAATTTCGTTTCTATCGCGGGAGAGATTTGTAAAAATCAGTGACCGCAGCGCGTCGGGCACGAGGAGGGGGAAGAGGGAGAAACGAAATGGTCGCTTTAAACTTCTCGCTTTTAGAGACTGTTAGAGACGCGGGCGTCGCGTCGTCGGCTCGTTGCGCGGTCGTGGAAATGCGAAAGAATAAAAAGTCCCATGTCGGATGGAATGACGTTCTCGCCATTCTTGCCTTCGATAAGGCGCGAAAACTGACTGCAAAAACTTCCTCCTGAGTTTCAGAGGGGAAATGCGGAAACACAAGAAATATATATATATATATATATATAGAGCGGTTCGCGCGGCGCGACGGCAAACTTAGATGCGGATGAAAGATTTTATCGCCTTTGGAAATCGCCAAAGTAGTTTTTGTCACGCGGCTGAAAAGCACGTGACGAAATGATGGTAAAAATGTGACGAGAGGCGTACGGCGTTTGCGTGAGAAATATCGAGCAAACATGCAGATTAGATTAGGCAGAGAGAAGCGGAGGAAGCACATCGACAACCACGATACGTGATTTACCGCCCGTAGCCGTCGAGTACCAAAATCACATTTTCGTTTGCTTTACCAAGCGAGTTGATAGCGTACATCGCTGCCAGATATCGTTGTGAAAAGACGACAGTCGAATTCAACAAGACAAATTTACGTTAAAAACACTGGTCGTTGCGGAATACCAGGAAATGACAATTATACGAACAGACGTATATTAATTGCATGAGTCTCCCAGAAGTCAAAGGATTATCTTCGTACAACAGAAAAGAGAGAAAACGATGGAATTATTACCAGGAAAATATTAATATGTCCTGATATATTAAAACATTTCTTTTAATTTAAAAAATTTTAATATACCAAAATTGAAGTTGCTCTGCACTTAGATTTCAAAGAGTAGCATATATAATTCTATAGAGTTTCTCAGAATCCATAACTTAATTTTAATTCTTTAATTGTTTTACATTTGTATAATACCTAATCTTATTACACTTGATTTTTTTAATATCAATTAAATATTTTGTAATAAAGTCTATAAGCCTGAAAGTCTGAAAAATCCATCTGTTTTTATCTTAGATGTGCAATAAAATCTTATTTTATTGTATGTTATTTTAGAAACCTAATTTGTGCATATCTCTTCATTTTTCTATCATATTGAATTTAAAAACGACTGTTATCTCGACAGATTCAATTAAGATCAATGAATTCGTAAATTGAAAGTTTGACTTTCAATTGCAAATACGGCGATAAATTTATTTTTACTTATAGCAGAGAGACATACTACTTAATATATTCATAATATCGCTGCATTGATAGAAAAGTGGCACAGGTAAAAATGCTAATTTAGCACATAAAGTAAATTCTTAATGAGATTCTGCTGTCGCTTTAAATTTTTTGGAATCGTTTCTCGAGTTAGTTTATCTCTTTGGAAATTATTGATTTTATTCGTTAATTACGCAACTCCCGGTATCTAAAAGTTCAAAATAAGGAAAGCGGTCACTAAAACGCACAATGAAGCATTACTCACGTTCTAAACCTTATGACTAAGTCCATCGAGGATGGTCACGTTGTTCAATACTGGTAAACTTCATCCAGACAGGCATTATGCTGTAACAGACAAAAAAAAGATAAAATTGGTTAATCTTCTTGTTAAAGACAATTCAGCTTAATCGGTGATAAAAATAAAGCTATACGTGACGAGTGGGTAATAAATTCTTGAACGGACAGCCTTAATCATTGAGATATCCAGGTTTGTGCTTGGCTGACATCACGCTATAATGGGTAGCCCTCAAATTTGTTGGAAAAACGACCGGAGTGCGTAAGAGAGAGTATATCTAAGTGAAAAATAAGTGGGGTATAGGGAGTATTCTATCCTCTTCGGGACTTTCGGGTAGGGAGCTCTTGACAGGTTCGGCGGGTCTCAATCGGCGACCGTATTTTACAAGCTCCGACGGCTCGGCATTCTTATCGGGTGACGTTTTCTCTTCTCTCTTTTTTTTTTTCTTCGCAGTCCGCTCGAAGGCGGGAACGCGAAGAGATACGGATGGTAAATGCGACGAAGGCGATTTACATTCACGCGACCGTCGTTTTGTGCAAGTGCACGTGTGAAAAAATGACGGCGTGCCATTCGACAATTCGACAAGGGACATGGTACATATTGATCCGCGCGGTCTTCAAATCTCACGACGGATTAAGCTCACGTCTGAATTCCGAATTCGCTGCGAAACGCGTCATACGTTTGACGCGATTTACCGGCAGGTAAATCGGGCGCTACGGAGCCCTTAAAATATTTTAATGTTTTCTTACAGCTGCGAGAGACACGAGATTTCCGAGGGGTTTATCCTCCTCTCCTCGATGCAGATGTAATTTCTGCGCGTTGCGGAGAAAACGCGTGAAACGTGTACCGACACGGTAAACCTACCTCGAAGCTTCCCCTTGCTCAACGTCTATTTGGCATGTCTCTCCGTACTGCATTTTCGCGCGATGTACACGAGTAAAAAGAATGGGCGGTTGCCGGAACGAGAAAATCGGCCAGGGGTGAAATTATTCTCAACACCTGTTCCCCCGCGGGACGTAATACAGCGTATATTCTTATATCCGAGTTGCTTAGATAAATCAGGCGCTTGGGAAACGCCTGAAATAAGCACCCATCCTCCCGCCAACGTAAATTTACTGTTCCCGTATACGGAGTGTGTCTTAAGCTCGACAGTCCAGTTTCCTCGATCGTCCGTTGTGCACGGCCGTATTAAGGCTTATATCGAGAGAAGCTTTGAAAGTGGTTTTCGGTAGAGGAGGCTGAGTTTACAAATAAACTTTTATCACCAGATCGCTTACGTGGCGTGAAAGTTCAATTACCTCGATGTTCTTCCCAGGACTATAAGATTCAGTATAGGGGTTAACGAAAAAAAAAAAAAACGAACGTATATACACTGACTAGGAACAGGAGATAAGAGAGAAATGGAATAGAGGGTTCCCTCCTCCGATGGAAGGGCAGTTGGGTCGCGAGCAAAAGTTACAGCTGGATAAGAAGCAGTTCGAGAGTCGAGTTCGTGCTCGATTTGGCTCCGAAACTTGTACGCCGCGCGCTGCCTTATATCGCTATAAATATTACGCAGAAACTAGGACGTTTTGGAAAGAAGAAAAAAAAAGAGGGAAAAGAAAGGAAACAGAGAAGAAAGGGAAGCCTTAAACTCTGCTGTGTGCCGCGTTCCCGTTTACCGCCCCTTTCCCCGCGAGAATGGACAATTTCGTGTTGTAAGTCACGGAATTTATTGCGTCATACTCGCGTGAGTTTTTTTTTTCTTATTTCTTATTCGCAGATTATTTCTCCTCCTCTCGGGTATCGACGGTCCCCCTTATCGAGCACGTTTGCCTGTCGCGCAAATCTGAATCTGTTCTACTGCTGAAAAGCCAGCCCCTCTTCCCTAATCGACCGGGCGACCCAAATTTTTGCGCCGAATGTATTCGCGCGCGTTGTATTTATAGCGAATCAATCGCACACCGCCAGGAATGCGCCGTTCATTCATTAAGCAGACCGATAATGTCAAATGCAAACATCGATATTTTTAAACGTACCGATAATATTCAATTACACCCTCGTGCAACGTTCATTAAGCTCCAATTGTGCGCGTTGACTCCTTCGCGCTACACTTTCGCCGTTACACTTTCAACGTTTCGGCGAAATAAAAAAAAAAAACGATTGCTCTCGACTACGGAACGATCGAAGAGAAAATGTGTTGCCCGAAATGAAGGGGCGACGCGAGATCGTTTTCAATTTTCCGCATCTGCGAGTTGATTGATTTTCGAATAAAAGAGAATTCCCATTCAAGGATACCAACGGGTACGATTCAACGGCTACGTGACACGCAGCCACTTTCTCTCGTAAATATGCCTCAGGCTGATCGAAAATTGCGTGACCTGAAATACGCCACGCTAAACGCTATTATCTGCGATCTATTGCGATAAGTAAGAGAGGACGATAATAACGTATAAACACGATAAATATATTATTACACGGCCTAACATTGCTATTATATGGTATATAAAGGAATTTTTATTATATACATATTATAAGATCTATTATATAATCAGAATATATGAGAGATTGATGTTATTATATAAGAAGGGAAGACTATAATAACGTAACGTGAAAAATTGTTATGTGACTTAACGTTATTATGCAAGAATGGCGCTCACGTTCTCGCATAGCACGGGATGTGAGGGTTATCGAGTACCAAATTGATTAACAGCTTGCCATACTACGGCAACGATACTTCCGGAAAGAAAATGGCAGTCGATTAACGACGCGGTCACGTTCGTGCATGCAAAACGATACTGCTCTCAGAATACGAAAGTCTCCTCGTGTTCCTTTCTCTTTTTTATCATTTCCGCTTCAATTTTGTCCTCCTTCCCTCGCTCCTCTCGCATAGACTTGAACATATTTTCTAAGCATATTTTAATGCGAACGAGCGACGGACCGTACAAGCATTACGTGCTTCCGATGCTTAAGGTGCACGTAAACTGGTTGAAGAAAATAATCCGACGATGACAAATCGAAGGGGCGTAAGTTTTCGAAACGCGAGGGTGGAGAGGTCACGGAAATGTTTCGATGAATACCGAAGGTCGCACGAAGCAAACGTAAAAACTCGAATCGACTGGCGCGGCGAGGCGGGGGAGGGACCGGGGATCGTCGCGGAAGTTTTGTGGAAATACGTGGCGGATGCTTACAGTTTTATTTCTGCAGCCACGTACGTACGTACGTACGTGCGATCGGAACAGCAGGAAGGGAGGATATACGTTACAAAATCGTATATCCGTGGCGGAAAGTAAAATATGTATGTTGCGTAATTTGATTGAAAGCTCGCAATACGTCAGTGCCGTGAGTAATCGCGCACAATAATTCGGGATAAATTAGGGCCGCCGCCGCCCGCGCCCCGCCGCGCAGCGCTTCATTAAAGCGCCTCTTATATCAAACGGACACGCACGCGGCGGGCAACCGAAAATCATAACCGCAGATAACGAGGTACTACAATCCACTCTTTTTTGTTTTTCCCTTTCCCGCGATTTATCTCCGCGTCACGCGATCGCACCGTTTCCCTTTGTGATATCCCTATAAGAACGCTTTTAACTCAGGAAATTTACTGACGTTCGCAGAATATTCCAAAGCAAATGGAATCTTAACAGAATCTCGACGATAAGTACTTCGAATCTGAAGATTAATATCTTTATCTAAAGAGTAACAGAGACATTGAAAATTTATTACAATTTTTCAAATATATTTCAAGAAAGCAAATCTACCTCCCTTCTTCTCCAGATCGGAAGCCCGCCCACACACAGTTATGTGTGTTGGATTAAAATTTTTATTGTAGTTTCCATGAAATTAACTAAGGAATAACAATTTTGTTGCCTGTTCTAATGTACGTCACGGTTTGCGCGTTTGCCGAAGCGATATTCAAACAGGAAACGATATTACGGTATATAGGTACTCCCGCGCCCATCGATACGACAACATACGTGATGTGTACTTCCCGGAGTAGGGGGGAGGGGAGAGAGAACTGAGCTGGAATGTTACGAAAGCCTGCATTCACGCTCAATACGCTTAAATTTGTCGTCGCTCCGGCCGATAATGTAATCCGACTTTAATTAATAAGCCGCTCCCTTACTGGGCTCATCTGCTCGTTATCTCTCCGCACCGCGATCTTACACGCCGCGGAATCGGGAAGGGTTCGATCGAATTTCCGCAGTTAAATTACTCGTAAAGTCGAACAAACGCCCGTTCGGCTGCCGTTCGTTGATTTCAAGGAAGCTGGACCACGCAGCCGGAAAATCGATAGCGCGAATCCGTGCTCAAAGCCATCGTGTATCAAACGACAAGAAGGGTTCCCGGGGAGAACAAGGGGAAGGGTATTACAATATTCTACCGTTATTGATAACGTTCCCGTGCTTACCGCTTGCGTTCGTAAATAATGCGGAGATAAATGTCCGAGGTATAAATATGTATGTACGTAAATATTCATCCTTTTTGTACTTTCTTTAGCGTAGTTTAGCTCTCTTTGATATAATCCAAGGCAAATATATATATGTGTGTGTGTGTTCTTTGTTGTTGACGCACACTTAGAAACTTGCGTTGCTGTCCAAATTTAGAAATGCCGCTGTGGACGTTTGACCGTACTGACATTACCCTTACGGTATTGATGCAATTATATCGCACGAGAAAGGGTGGTGCTTGCGTATAATGGAGCCTGCGAGGCGCTGTTGACGATAGCGTCTCTCTCTCGAAAAAGACGGCGGTTAATGTCACAGGAGTCGATAATAGGGACGCGCGTGGTCGGCGCCTTTGTACATATTTATGTAGCATCGAAAGTGCATTTGTTGGAATTCCCGGAAGGAAAATCATCCGGAAGGAATTGCAAATAATATCAATTTAGCTATATAACTTTGCACGAATTACGCTGTGCTGACCACCCACCATGCAGTTTTTTTTTTTTTCATACACACATCACTACCGGCAAGCTCAAGTTTAATTAATTTATTGGTTCGTTTATCATTGTTTACACTGGCGCGTTTTATTAATAGGAGTGAAATCACGCGTAAATTGTCGGCCAATG